CTCAGGGACCTGCCCAGAGCACCACGAGTGCTCAAACAGCTGTGCCAGTGTCTCAGCTGTGACACTGTCCAATTCCTTCAGCAGCCATGGATGGAGGTCATCCGGACCTGCTGACTTGTACCCACCCAGCTCCTCCAGGAGCTCCTTAACTATTTCAGAACTAACCGTAGGCTGCCATGGGCGTGTATCTGGTGTGGTTCATGGATGTCCACAACACCTGCCCCATCTGCGAGCCAGCAGAGACCCTGGCAGATGCCTACCTGGAGTGCACCAGGCTGCAGCCCCATCACTGCCTCCTCAGAGCCTCCTGCTGAGGTCCTGGCTGCACTTCTCCCCACACCTCTATATTTATGCACTGTCCTCCCACTGCCCCCCCAAGTCCTGGGACCTCCTGGTCAACCTCCTCCTGGCCCTGACCAAACTGGCTATATACCTGACCAGGAAGGAGGCTCTGGCTGGGAGAATCCCCAGGGACTGCAGGGCTGGTTTCCTTGCACTAGTTCATTGCCATCTCCAGGCAGAGTATCACTGGGCAATGTCCACTGCATCACTGGACTCATTTGATGGCCACTGGGTACTGTCAGGTGTGTTCTGCTCAGTAACCTGCCTTCCCCCTTTGGGACTCTTGTTATGGACTTGGACTAGTACTCCTGTCCCTGTTTTTTTAATATTTGTCTCCAGTAAGGTCCCTTCCAGCCTTACAATCTATGTATGTGCGCTGGGGGTGGGCATAAACTATATCAGATACACACCTGTAGCAATGGCTCCATGGAGGAGCCGCCAGTGAAGGTCCCCAATGGTGCATGGGATCACGGTGGAGGGTGGAGTACAGGCTAGGTCACCGGGGTCTCTCATGCTCACCCCCACTGAGGATGTCTGGATGGGATGTGAGGGCAGCGTGGTGGAGTGCTTGGTAGATGAGCTTTTAGAGCTGGTGCCAGTGGGCCGAGGAGCAGTGGACCAGGCTCATGTTCTCCAGCCTGCTGAGATGATGCAACAGAGAGTGCTCCAGAGTCTACCGAACTAAGGCTCTAATAGCAACTCCACTGGGCTGGGGGTCAGGGTGGGGTGTGGACTGTGGCAG